CCATACACCAACAAGGATAGTAAATAGGTGGCTTACCTTGCTAATACCAGTCATGGGAATCTTCGCCTCCAAAAACCCATCCGCAGCGGCGGACAACTCCTCAATCTCCTCCTCCGTGAACCGATGCGTCCATTTCTCCGGGTTATTGCTGTAATCCTCAGGCTTCCAGACCGTGGGGCCGGTGATCTCCTTGGGGAATTTATCGAAGGGGTGAATATGTTCGTAGAGTGGAGGGTGTTGACCCGTGGTTTTTAGTCCGTCGGGGAAGACGTCTAAGGGAATGGTGGCGGGTTGTTGTTGGGTTAGGGCCATGATGGATGGAGTCGGAGTCGAAATTCAGTAGAGTTGAATAAATAAATAAAACGAGATCTTATCAATCAGATATTGATATCAACGCCAGTAGTAGTGGTAGTAGTAGTAGTAGTGCAGTAATCAATCAAAGACAGAAACTGCAAGGAAAGGATACATCAGTAATATTTATATACCCCTCATTCCAGAAACCTTTCACCCCTCACATCTTCATTCGTTCCACCCCTGGCCAACTCGCCGAGCATATTCGGAACGATAAGCGATGTAACCATCAGTGGAGGGGAATTGCGTGCGCCGTGACTATACGTTGAAACATCTGCGACTTCTCATAGGAGGAGTGCGCCGCGGGTGTTGAGTCGGCGATCACGAATGTTGATTTGCCGATGGCGCAATCTCGGCTGTGGCTGTTGTGATGCCCGCGGGAAAGGCTTGTGATTGATTATTATTATGCTGCGGATTGTCTGATTAGTTTGTGAGATGGATGTGAATAGTTTTATCAGTTCTTATATTGTAGTATACAGTTGGTTTATTTAGTTGGTGGATGAAGTTGAATTAATCTTAGTATCTACTTACTATTAGAAAGACGATGGCTGGTAGATGGTAGATGGTGGATGGATGGCTAGACCATGGAGGGTCGGGTATATGAGAGGGATGATCAGCGGAGTAAGTGCCGGTTGATCGGTAGTAAGTTGTAATTACTATTGAAGATGAATTTCTCGGGCGAGAGATGGGATAAGTATGATCTTATGTTTCTCGTTTATTGGTGTTTCGAGATGATGGGGTCGTCATGATAGTGGATGGGGTGAGGGCATGTGTTTCCTGATCGGGTAGTAGGTTCTTTGGTTGCGGAGGGATGGTACCTGATTATGATAAATTGCATATGAGTTGCATAAATTCGACTGAATTACGATTTAAATACATCTGAGATAATAATGAGAAATGGTGCTTTCAGTAAATTTGATCCATTCACATGCAGATCGAAGATGGTGATTGATTTACTCTTGTCTACTACAGTGCCGGTTGCTCCGCAGTAGTATCAGGCAAGACAACAGGAATTTTCGTATCATTATAAAACAGGGGCTAGTCAAATACAAACTTAGTGTGATTTGAAAAGAGATATAGGATACAAAGTATATACAGTTAGTCGCAATCCTGATATGGAAACTATGCTAAAGCAAAGGCAGTAAAGAGAAGCTGTTTCCAAACAATTATTTTATTTATCCTACTACAGTGACATCTATAACAACAACAGGTTGTGTAGTGTAATGGTTATCACTCTGGATTCTGATTCCAGCAATCCCGGTTCGATCCCGGGCACGACCTTTTTGACTTCCTTCACGTTGAGATGTCCCGAGAGTCTCTTCTTTTTGCTCTTCACCTTCTACTACTTTCCTCTACCGAATCTACTGTATCATTCATGATAGTCGACAAGGAACAAACCAAGCAATTGAACCACAGTCTACCACCTAACCTACTGTATACCTACTGTATCCGCGAAGTATATGGCGGGGCGGCCGCTGACAACAGAGTCTGCCACCTGCCTGAAGGCGGTCAAAAAATACACAGAATCCCAGCTCACTTTTTCGGAGCTGTTAAGAATTATATCCGTATATATCCGCTTATATCCGCACCTTTCTCTGCGAGGTCGATGGAGTTCTGCCGCTTTTGTCGGTAGAATGAGCGGTCATACCAGGCAATACATTGCTCCGCATGACGTTGAGGGGTTATCCATGCCACCATGTACCACTCAGTACATCCAAGCAATTCAGGAAATCATCCTGTCTAAATGAAATGCCTTTGATATCTCTTGTATATACTGTGCACACTCTGTGTCTACATCCCCAATAACCAGATACCTACCCTCTAAATGAACCATCTACCTTTCCTCGAATGAGCAACTCAACCACAACTACCTAGTAGCTATTACCCGATGGCTGACGTCCTGCGACGAAGAGGAATATACAGAACTCATTGGATACATCCGCTCTCGCAGGGTTAGTATCATCCATTGATTTTTTGACTTCCATATCGTAAAACAGGCACTCTAAACCACAATAGCCCTAGGAATAGCATACAGACAAACCTCCCTGGAGACGCTGTCCGCAAAGGCCGGAGTAGCGTATAGTTATACCGTAGACTTTGCGGGGACGTCTATTAAGAGAAGGGTGAGTTTATTCCCTCTTCCCTTGCTATTAAAGGTAATGCTGAGGAATGATGTTATTTGGCTATTAGTATCCCCGTGTCGTTGAGGGGAGGATTCAGTGAGTATACACCTACTACCATGACTATCCAGACCACTCTAATCGGATATACTACCCTGTACTAATGTACATATAGAGGAACAACACCCCACCTCTCAAGCAAAGACAAAGCCGACGGCCAGAAAGTCGTCACGGTTGGATTCCATGCCCGGAATGGAACAAGATATCTCTCCATCCATGCTCATGGCGACGGTACTTGGAAGGAGTTTCTTTCAAGGGCGGGAAAGGCTGTTTTGCGTAAGGAGAGGGATGGATCTCAGAGGAGGGCGATGCAGGGGAGATTGAGTAAATCTTCCTGCTAGTGATTGTGATTGTGTTTGTGGTGGGTTATTGATTTAGCGGTTGTATTTGGCGTTGGCATAGCTTCTTGGTTGTTTCACTCGTCTTCTTTTTGACCGTGAGTTCAGTTATGTTATGTGGGTATTTAGACTTGCTTTTGTGTGTCGGAAGGTGAATGAACCCATGAAAATCATTTTACTGTGTATGATACTTTCTAATCACAATGGATCTAATATAGCACACATCAATACTATGTATCATCCGCAGTAGTATTATCTACTACACAGCAGCGCCCCCCCATATATAACAGTACGATCCAAGCAACATCCATTGCAACTTACCATGCAAAAGCTATAAATATTGACTTTGCTAGAATAATCCATTCACTAAGTTCCGGGCTATAACTCCGGACCAGAGAATACGCCGGTAGTATTGGTTTGCGTAGCGTACTATATCAGCAGGAGATAATCCGACTAGGAGCATGTTTGAAAACCTGGTCAAGGTTATAATTTTGACTTTCTACATCTTGGACGGTGGCTTGAACGAGGCGTTAAGGTTATTGAAGCGTGGGTACTTTGATCAGGATGATGATTATGACATGCTTATCGCTTAATGCTGATGGAAGTATGACTTGTGTTGCCATTTTATCCAGATCGTTCTTTATTTGGTTTCAGACATGTAGGGTTCTATTTTACAACAGTTCGAGTTGAGTCCGCTGGAAGTAGTGCAAGAGTAACTGTAGCAAAAACCCCAACTTGGATACAACCAACGTATTATCTCACCCATGGACCCATAGACCCTTTGAAATGAACCCTATGGGCGTAATATAATGACAAGCAGTAATTAAATGCCATCTCAACCCAAATCGCAATAACCTCCCCGAACCAGCGAGATTCAACCCTAAAGCGGCGCGCCCGCATCTCGATCACCTACCGAAAGAGGCAACTCGATCCCCAGGGTCCGCGGTTCCACACTTTCTTTCTCGCCTTATCAGACTCCCAATCTGTTTAGATAATAGTTTTGGATCGGACGCATCTACCCCTCACCACTCTCCGAAACCCCTCAATCATCCTATAACGCACGCACACAGGACATTATGAGATCCCAGAAACACCTGCACATCGCCGTCCTGGACGTCGACGTCCCGGTTCCGAACGTCTACTACGCTCGCGGTCTTTATAGTACCCAATTTCGCAAGCTGCTTCGGGCTGCTGCGGGGCGGATTGCAGAAGATGAAGGAAGAGACGAAGAAATTGAGATCCACACCACTGCATTCGATACTCTTGGTGGTAATTTGCCGTCGCTAGCTAGTTTGAGCACGCAGCCTACTGCCACAGTGACCAAGGCTGGGGAGGTTATCAATCCGCTGGCTTTGCCTATCACCGGTATCTTGATTACGGGATCTGTGGCGTCCACGTATGGTGCTGAGTACCAGTCTTGGGTTGCACCGTTGCTGGAGTTCATTACCACTGTGTATGAGCAGTATCCGCATGTGCGGATCTTTGGAAGTTGTTTTGGCCACCAGGCGCTTGCAGAGGCTTTGCTTGCGGGATCTGCTTCGGCCAATGAGGTCAAGGTGGGATGTTGTCCCGATGGGAAAGAAGCTGGACTGGCGCAGGTTGAACTCACAAAGGGGTTTGTGGACGCATTTCCCTGCTTGAGGGGAAAGCGCGCGTTGAGACTGCAGATGATTCATGGGGATTGGGTGACGGTTGAGTCTTCACCTGAGAAAGCGCTTCCCTCGCCTTGGATGAACATTGGGGGATCAAAGCCTTGCCCTATTCAAGGCTTGTATTGTCCAGGACGTGTTCTGTCCTATCAAGGCCATTTTGAATTCGATTCATTCGTCAACCGAGAGACATGTGTCAACTTTGGAGGGAGATTGGGGTGGGCGAAAGAGCTTGTCGAGCAGTATGTGACGGCAATTGGAGACGTGGACGGAAACGGTGATGACTCCAAACTAGCCGCGGAGGTGCTGGTAAGATTCTTTGCGGGTGAAGATGGCGCGCATGACAAGCAATGCATGATCAAGGCACAGGATGAGAAGAGCATGGGAGTAACCAGGTTGATTGGCGGTCTGGTGGGCCAGTTGATGGGTGGGAGCTGGTGGTCCAGCAAGGCATAAGAGAGTAGCATAGAAGCCCTGGAAATATGGGAAAAAGATGAAGACACCATCTATTCAAATCAAACTACATCAATGTTCAATATATTCGTAAATGCGACCCATGTAAATCATCCAAACATAAACCAAATTGTCATGATTAAAACACCAATGCCACCATGTAGTATATATACCCGCCCAGCGTTGTTGTATACCTACCAAACACCCAAAATCCCGGATTTTCATAAGAATTCCTTATCATGGCATGTGAGAATCATGGTCGGGCCAGCCCTTCAATAACTCGTTCCGAGATATAAACAGTCAAGGGCGACATCATATACTCAGCGACCACTGGGTGATTCATGTGCCTGGCTCATGTCATTGCTCCATAATTTTGAGTAACCGTGCACCCTCAAAGCCATTAATCGTAACATCCGTAAAACATAAAATTCGATCAGAAGCTCACCAGAGTGCGCTTCATTCTGGAGACATCAAGAATAGGGGTGTATTCACCTGAAGTCGAGCTGGAAAGCTTTCCATTTTCCACCCACAGTGCGGCAGCGAGGGCAGCCTCGGGGACTGGGATAGCTTGTTGGTCCATGAGACATTGCGCTGCCCGGACTCGACGTCACATTCCTAAAGGAGGCAGGCGGACTGCTGATGAACAATCCGACACACTCTCGACACACGCCACAGATGCACTCCGTACAGGCGTAGCATTCATTCAAAGCCCACGGGCGTTTGCAACTGGCACAATAGATTTGGATCTCTCTGTTGCGGTATGACGCCGGTGTGGGGTTTGAGAACCGATGATGCTGGCGCTGAGATGCAGAAGAAGGATACATGTTCAATACCGGGCTAGACTCGTTGTTGGAGGTGCTCATGTGACTTGAGAAAGCGTAGGTTTTCCCTGACGCCGTCGATGCCGAATCTAGCGAGGATTCAATGGAGGGAAATGGTTCCAAATCACTATCACGACTGCGTGCGGTGTCAAACGGCGGCGGCGTTAAAGACTTGTGTAGCGGTGACGCCGCATAGGCGTGAGGAGGGAAAGGCCGATGAGAGGTCGGTGGCGGCAGTCCAGGTGAGGGTTGAAAAGCCGGTGGTAGCGATGACCGGTGATTGCCGACCGAAGGCGCCGAAGTGATATTGGAGATTAACGGGGGCATTGTAGGCGACCGACCAACCTGTGGCTGAGATTAGCACATGTCTGAGCTTGTTCTGCGGAAAAAGCAGGCACATACATCCGAATTGTGATCGTCATCCGCTTCCGTGGCCGAGGTAGCTGCCTCAATCAAATCTTCCCAGCGCTTGCCTTGAGCCCATGCGGCAGTCTGTGGTTCCGCAGAAAGCGCCTTGCGATCGCCCAGACTAGGGCGTCGGCCGTATTCCTTGGATCTAGTCCGCTCATGCTTCGGTTTTCTAGCTCTAGAAATGGACGACTTGCGAGGACGAGGAAGCTTGTCTCGATGCTGGATGGGAGGCAGGGTGGAAGAGCGACCGGGCGGGGAGTGCGTCAGAATGGACGGGAGAAGCTCGCGAGGACGAGGGGATGAGAATGGAGGCAGCGAAGCCTCCTGCTTGAAGTGCTCCCTCAGGGAAGGCAGTTCAACGGATCGCAAGCGGTCTCGGTCATTGTCCGAGTGAGTCTCCTAGCGCACCAGTTAGGTAATCTTGCTTTTCTACTGCTCACAAAGTAGTCTAGCATACCATGTCCGTATCCCAGTCGGAAGCTAGACGGTTGTGGTGCAATTGCGCCAATGCAACGGCGGCGGTCGCTGCCGCGGGATGAGTCTCGTCAATGCCCCGCGGGGTTGCCGGAGAGCTAGCGTCAGCAACGTAGATATCCCGATCAGCAATTTCTATAGCCAGTCAGTTGACGTTCTGAGAGCCACACATTCCAGCCATGATGACCGACCATTGCGTCGCCGAGATGGAGCTTGAGTCGAGGGAGATAGATGGGCCCGTTGGTCTGGAGGGGTGGTCACCATCAAGATGAAGCTCTCCTCGGTTGCCGGGAGCTTCGGAATGTAGTGGTTCGGGTGGGCTCTCCGGATGTGCTCCTGCATGGAGCGATAGCGCTTCTCCTGAAGGGCAGAACAACATGTTAACCACAAGCATTAGGCTTGGATAGTAATGCGACAGATCATATTATTTTTTCTCTCCAGCTTGCGCCCGCACTGGTCCTCGCACAGAGGTGCAGGCTGCTTGCTGACCATTGCATGAAAGTGGGGCTCGGATCGATAGCGGGCGGGAAGAAGGAGCAGGAGGGAAAGCTGAGAGGGGGAAAAGGCGAGCTGAAGGAGTACTACTCACACCCAGACATCTCTTCCGGCAATTGGAGCCATCGTTATTCTTCAACGGACACACCACTTCATTATTGACGTCGGTGACCGAGAAGGAGCTCGTTAGCGATGCTCGCGGCGGCATGGTCTGCATGGATCCGTCCTGGCGGGGTGGGTTGGAGGGTCAAGCCAGCGAGCCAGCACAAGCACACAAGCAAGCTTGAATGGAAGCACTGAACTAGATAATAGATCAAGATCAATTCGTTAGGGCACCGTCAACCCTCCCAACGCATGCTCCAATGTACAGCACAAGAAGGAGAAGGTAAAGAAACGATGAGTATGTCAAGCAAGTAATTTGGAGAGGCGAAAAGATGAAGGAGAAAAAGGATCGGGGAAGAGGTGGAATCCGTGGTCGAGAAAGCTAGACGGCAAAGTAATAGAGTGTATGAGTAATATGGAGATAAATTCGCCCTAGTTGTTGCTGTCCAGGCTGAGCTATTCTTTTTCGGAGCCAGTTGCGGTAGTTACTATCAATGTAGTAAGATTGTAATGTACTCCGAAGCAGCAGCAGCAGTACTACTAGTAGTAAGTAGTAGTCAAAAGCACGTCCGACGTAGTGGCAGGAAACTAAAGCATCACAATCGAGGAATCGGTCAGGTCCAGGAAGGGGGAGGGGGGGGGAAAGGTCAAGGTCAAGGAGCTAGGCCGATTACAGGTCTTGTCCAGCCAAGCTAGTCTACGAATAGGCTAGTGACCTCGAAAAAAAAGAAAATTGACAGCCAAAGGATTGGGGGATGGCAAAGACCCCACTAGGCAAAAACAGAAATCTGACCTAAAAAATTAAAAAAGGAAGGAAAAAAGAGAGAAAAAGTGAAAAAAGGCGACCAGCAGGCGACTTGTCCGGAGGGGAAAAACGAAAAAAGGAGGGTGGGAATGGTAATCCACTTACAAATTACATGATTTTACATACAATACCAGGAAAAAGTCAAAGAATGATTGAAAAGAAAGAAAAGAAAAAAAAAAAAAAAAAAAAAAAAAAAGTGGGAAGATTTAGTCCGAAGCACGCCGACCGCGTGGCTTGTCCCATGTAGCTTGGACTGGCTAGGATGATCGGAGGATCCAGGATTAGTGAACAATCCAGAAAACGTCCTCGTGCATCAGTAACTGGACTTGTAGGTCTCGAGGCGCTGGGATAAGGTATCACGGAGCACTGGATCGGGTGACACGATAAGCATACTACTACAGCCCGTACCGCGGATGAGAGGCGAAAAAACGAGGGAAGCTCACGGGCAAGATAACGGACATCCGAAGGGAGCTCCTGGGGGAGATTGTTGATATTGGTTGGCTTGTTAGCAGCTACGCAGGTATCCAGAAGTTATTACTAGACTGCTTGCTACATGGAGCTACGACGATAGCTTGTTAGCCAAGCAGCAGGGGAAAAGTCTTTCAAGCCATTCTCATCCGATCAATCCCTATGAGGCATTATCATCCTGGTGGTGATACAGCATGTGCTCGTTCTCGGTATTACGATTTCGTACCGCAGCGGTATCTGATGCCGATTGCGCCTATCGATAAAGTGTGGGACAGCGCGATATCCGCACACATGAATTTCGGTCCTCGCTTCGTCGCGAACATTACTCTTTTTGTAGAGTATATTTTTGCTGAAAAGATGTTAATCAGTATCTCATCCTTTACTGCTTTTATAGCAGTTTATTCTTGTACACTAGACAGTCCATATTGTACAGTGAGGCACTGTAGAAAGCTTCGGATCCGGATCTACTCTGCTGATAAGTCTGTGACACTTACACTCCACTGGAGCTCAGAGCCGGGTCAAGCTTACATTACATTACCGGAGCCAAAGGAGGGGTGACATGGGGAAGGGGCACTGCCTTCCTAGTTGGGATGGCGGACACCTCCGTAGCTCAGTCAAGGGTATAATTTAAGGACATGGCTACTCGGCAAGGACTTCCAGCAGCAGTCATCCTATATGATCCGTGCGATTCATGTCCGCGTTTGAAAAGGGCAAACAGCTGAATTTTGACTGACGGGGTCTTGGTCGACCGAGACTTCCGTCCCTCAGACAGATGCAGGTTGGCTGGCTAAGCTGGTCAAATACCATACCATACATGCATACATACGGTATGGTAACGATGACCAGCACTTCGGGAATGCCGGTGGAACCCCTCCATTCTTGAGGGGGTTGCGACAGCTGCAGCATCAGCATAATTAGCATTGACTACGGATGAATGGGGGTTGGCCTTGATGGAAGATGACCGATACAACACAATGGTCACATTGCTCGCAGGTAGTCAGTTTAGGCAATTCCAATGGGTTATTGTAGAATCACGTGGTGAGTGAACAAGCTGGGCATCCGGCCATGTGCGACCTACCCCTCATTGTTCTGGTTCATTTTCCACCACCACCACAACCACCAGCTCTCCCCAGCTCTAGGTTGAGCTTCCATGCAACCCAAGCACAAGAGCTCCCAGCTGGAGCTTTCCAGTGGAAAGGGCCTAAGACCAAAGCAGTTAGGCCACTAGTGGCGAGTCCAATTTAGTTTAGCGCGACGCCACTCCAGTTCCTTATTCCCGTCTGAGTGGGGCTCTCGAAACGGGTGTACCTTAGCAGGCGATGGGCGAGAGGAAATTTTTCCATCTTCTCGAAACAAGTGGCCACCGCTGATTCCATGGGAGGCTGGGGCAAATCGCTGGCTAACTGTGTCTGGACTCTGGAAATCCCCCCCGATGTTGATGGCTATGCGGAATTCCGCTTTCCGGGAGAGGAAATAAGAAAAAAAAAATAGTTACTACTACCCTGAGACCTGGGAAAGACAACACCCATGACCCGGTGATTTCAAGGGACCAGTCCAACGGCCGAGAAGAGTGGTGCCTCGGAATCACACTATCGCAGGTCACCGGTGTGGAGGGGTTGATGCCCAAGTTGCCCTTAAGCGAAACTGGTTGCCGTGAATTCCCGCGCTTAGCTGGAGTGCACACAAGGGAGAGGGGAAAGCTCCGTCCTTGTTTAAATCCTGATCCGTTGGCCGTGCTGTCTTTGACCCTCTCAGCCACTATGGATACTAAGTCAATGGTCAAAGTAGTGGTACTTTGTCGGGGCAAAGAAAGTCTATGCACCTGCACACGCGGCTAAGAGGTTCTAGCTCGGCGACATGAGGGGACGGCCCTGCTGTAGCCTGCTTAGCTTCGGTTCGACACCTACGGACTTCAGCCGATATGGTTGATTGTTCCCCCCAGCCGCTAGTCTTGCAGAGGAATGTTCACGACAATCCACGGCTCTAATTCGATATGCAAGGAATAATGTCTGTTCTCTGACCTGGTCTATAATCCACATGGTTGCCATTGGTCTTTCAGTTGCTTTACCAAAATCCTCACCGACACAGAGTTGGCCTGGAAAAAGTTTCGCATTCCGTGCGGAGAGAATTCTATTCTTGGAAAAATGAACCTCCAATTGCCCGCCAGTCAGAGCGTGCGGTTGACCCTTGGGTTTTACCATAGCACGAGTCAAGGCTTACTGCGATGTACGGCCGTACTTGGTAATTAGTGTGTCGCTGACCATGACCATGGCTTATGGCCGAGCGGGACTTATACTAACACTGGATACTACATAACTAACTACTGTAGGACAAGTAGAGCTGACAATAACATTGACAGTGCTATTGTTTCTCTGATCCCTTGCATTCATCCAGCCAATACCACAGCCGATGTTCATGCAGGACGATAGGTACATCGTACTCCTCGCAGGGGACCATGCATCGTTCCAACAGGAAGAGGTTCCCAAGCCGCGGTCTCTGGGGGAGCCGCCTGCATTGGTGGCGCCAAAAATTGCACATCGAAGCAGCAGCAGTTCTGCCGGCAGCTGGTCACTTTCCTTAATGGGCATATTGCAGTGCGCAAAGCATCATGATTGGATGGTTTGCCAGCAGGGGATGATGCACGGTACCCAATTAGAGGCCGGCTGATGGCAATGGATCGTCCAATCAGACCTTGATACCCTTCTGCTTACTCACCCCCCGCTTCGGCACGTTTTTGTTTCCATTCCCGTTACAATTATTACCATACCGTAAGTAAGCATTGCCCCCCACGGATGTTTGCCTGGTCTGGTTCGCTTTGCTAGCCACAGTCCAGCCTCCCATACTTCCTCTCGTGGGATGCCCCCTTTTCATCAAAATTTTCAACACTGCCTTGAAAATGTATACCGATCCATGGAAATTGAGGTGCCACCATCGAGATTCAACTCGGGGAGTATCTGGGGAATTTACGGAGTAGGAACCCGTATGTCTGGTCATTCAACCGATCAAGGTCAACGCTATCGGCAAACCGTGATATGTGCTATCCCACAAGCGATATCTTCATCGTGGATATTATCAATCACAGTCGCACTGCATCCCGGCCAACTGCAGCGTATACATTGGCATTTGCAAGACTGCCGATCCATTTCTAGAAACACTGGCGTATCTGCCGAATGGCAGTGCCTTATACTTTCCATATCCGACCATACTATACCAAGACAATGACAGAATCACATCGCACAATCGCACGTATACCGGGCTGACCCGTCTCATTCTTCTATCCGAGACAGACAAAGAAGTAAAAAAGTGTGGCAGCCTTGCCGCAAAGCTTGTATAGCGGTGGCCGTTGAAGTGCGGAGCGCACCTACCATCGGATATGGCACGTCACACAACCACCGACTGTAGTCCGCAAATGAGGTGCAGCACCCTCACCACATCTCTATAATCCTCCATATAAGCTACCAACTAGCTCCGATTACTTGCAAGCTTGTTTGCTGTTGCCGGCTTATAACATCACCCATCAGCACCACTCGACAGCATCATGGAATAGCCCATCGGCTACGGCGCCAGCAGTGCCGTATATCCGTGTCCGATGCCCCACGGGGATCAGCCAGATAGCATCCGATGGACTCTGAGGTCACTGTCTCCCTGGTACCGACGTGCCTCATCAGCATCCGACTCTCCGCGCCACGCATCTCAGCAATGACATCGTTCAAAACAAGCTATCTGTAGTCTCTAGCTTTAGTAGATAAAAGACCTGGAGAGCCCTGGCCGCTGCTAACTCCCCATCACTTCACCTCCCACCTCAACCCATCATCCAATCCTCCAATTCATCTACATTATACACCACAAAATGTCCCCCACAAAGAAAGACTTTCACGTCGCCATCATCGGCGGCGGCATAGCAGGCATCACACTAGCTATCGCACTCCACCACCGCAACATCCCCGTAACCATCTACGAGCAAGCGCACGAATTCGGCGAAGTAGGCGCCGGCGTCTCCTTCAGCCCCAACGCCGTCCAAGCCATGAAATACTGCCACGATGGCATCTACAACGCCTTTGAGAAAGTCTGCACGCGGAACCTCTGGCCCACCAAGCAAAAGGTCTGGTTCGACTATCTGGACGGATACAACAGCAAGAACACAAGCCAAGAAGAAAACGGCCACCAAAAAATTGAATTCACCATCTCCAACAGCCTCGGCCAGAACGGCGTTCACCGCGCGCATTTCCTTGACGAAATGATCAAGCTCGTCCCCAAGGAGATCTCTCGCTTTAACAAGCACCTGGATGATATTCACGAGCGAATTAGCGATGGCAAGCTTATCATGAAGTTTGCCGATGGATCCGAGGATGAAGCTGATTTGGTCATCGGATGTGATGGAATCAAGTCCCAGGTGCGCCAGATTATCGTCGGTGCGGACCATCCTTCTGCGAAGCCGTCGTATACTCACAAGTATGCGTACCGGGGTCTCGTGCCGATGGATAAGGCGGTTGAGGCGATTGGGGAGGAATTGGCTTCGAATTCTTGCATGCATGTGAGTAACCCATTCCTTTGAGTTCTAATTGACTGGAAAAGTCATACTGACGGTGACAATAGATGGGCCCCGGTGGCCACATGCTCACCTTCCCCGTGAACGCCGGCAAAACACTCAACATCGTCGCCTTCCACACCACCACCGACGAATGGGTTGAGTACCCCAGACTCACCCGCCAGGGTACCCGCGATGAAGTCCTCCGTGACTTTGCCGGCTATGGACCCAACGTGACCAACTTGCTCAAGTTGACTGATCCTCAACTCAGCGTGGTATGCAATACCCCCTTCCCCCATTTACCTTAGACAATCAAATCTGATGAGTATACAGTGGGCCATCTTCGACCTAGGCGACCACCCGGTCCCAACATTCTACAAAGGCCGCGTCGGCATCTCCGGCGACGCCGCGCACGCTACCTCACCGCACCACGGCGCCGGCGCCGGCTTCTGTATCGAGGATACAGCCGTGCTGGCGGCACTGCTGGAAGACGAGCGCGTGCAGACGCACAAGGATCTTCAGGCAGTGTTGGCGGCGTTTGATGAGAACCGACGCGAGCGGTCTCAGTGGCTGGTGCAGAGTAGTCGTTTCATTGGCGATTGCTATGAGTGGAGGGCTGATGGGGTAGGAAGTGATTTCAAGAAGATTGAGGAGGCGATTAACTATCGGAATGGGATTATTGCCAATGTGGATGTTGGCAAGATGTGTGAGGAGGCGAGGGGGGCGTTGGGGAAGAGGATTGAGAAGGCTTCGTTGTGAGTATGACTACTAGTAGGCTTTTGAAAGGAGGGTTTGTACGATGATAGAGGGTTTGTTTGTGTTATTCATGGGTTCTAGCGAGACATATTGTTTGTTTAGCATGTGTTTGTTGGATAGATTAATTCATTCTTAGCATATTATCCTGAGACCTTTGGTTGTTCAGCGGTACTACACTGAATTCTCATTGATAATGGTCCTAGGAGATTATGATGATAGGTAGGCATGTAGCACTAAGCCTGCATTTGTTCCACAACACACATGCCTTATGCGGCCTTTTCTCACGTAGTTAGAACCACTTTTCAGTATTAACGTATGTGATAAACCGTACTAGTATCCTCACGTAAATATTAACCTCCGGGACAGCTCAAGTAACAATAATAACCCATCCATAGACTTTAGCCTCTCAACGCGAATTATTAACCAGCGCCGAATTCACCAATGACATCATCCTCTGTTTCGTACACAATCGATCGGGGTATCATATGAATAAATATAAAAATATAAAGTCGCCGAGGGTGTTGTCTGAAGAATGAACTATGTAAGATGTTAGAATGATTCTGTCTATATAAAGTCCAGTGCAGGACCTTCCCTCTTTTACAATATGGGGACATACCTGACTTATATACCCTGCAACGTCGCATGAATCGGTCACATCTCATGTTTCTTTGCGGAGAACAACAGCATTCTCCGACTTTGTATCAGGCGTCACTTGCTCACTCTGAGATCTCAACGAGACCAACCACTCCCAAACAAACGACAAGGGGTTCATGAGGCTCTCAATGGGACTGTAGGGTGATAGCGCGGGGTCGTAGAAATGCGTCGCCATGATTATTCCTTGATTCAACAATCATTCACACGCGTCACTTTCAAGAAACTAATCCTCTCAGAAAAAAGAAAATTTGGTGAAAATAGAACCAGAACAGAACCCTATCCCTGAAGCTGTAATGAGATGAAGGGAATGCCCTCAGCAACAAACAATGCAAATGATTCGCATAATGGCGTGCCGTGCCTCCACCGCTCATTCATTTATTGGTTCCCCGCATTTCTCATCGCTGGGCGGTGGGAAACTGGCATGTTTGTTCTCCAATTATATTCTGATGCAAACAGTGCAATTTCACATATTACTAATGTTTGGTGTGTTTGGATTGTTTGGATTGTTGGTTATATGTTCTTCGGTTCAGGGGTTAACGGCCGAGAGCCCCCGAACTTTGGGGGGGACTCGAATTTGGGGACTTTCGGATGTTGACCGCCTTGAGAGCTTCCGATGGGGGTTTATTGGGTTGGGGGTGGTGGGTGTTGGTTCCGATGGTGGGCTGGGGCTGGGGTTGGGGGGAGGGGGTAGGGGGTAGGGGGTAGGAATTTATATTGGATATCAGGGTTGGAGATGTAATGAATACATACATATTCGTCTCAATATTTTTCTTGATTGATGTGTCTAGTGGCGTAATGTTGTTATGATGGTGATAGAGCGATGCTGTGCATTGGTCTACAGTCAAGGGGGTTATCCGGATGGAAAACCGCTCGCCGCTTGATCATTACCGTATGACCATCTTCTAGAGATATTTGAGAGAGATGGTCACTTCCATCTTTTACTTAGTAACGCAGCTGTACTCTGTACAATGCTTTCTGAGTGAAGACGCCCTCATTTCACGGGCAGTTTCGCGATGAGCATAGCCGACATACAAAATGTGGAGACGGCTGATATAGTGGGTCTATGGTTATCATCTACTTACCCCAGGTCTTGGCTCTGTGAGTTATCTTGACTAGATAACTGTCAGCTTATGATGACTTCTCAAAGGTGAGGCTTGCAAATGAGCCGAGTGAGTGGAAAGAATTGAGAAGCTACAGAATTGTAACGGATACAAGGTATTTGCTGGTGATGTTGTACGGGAGGGTTTAATCAGAGGAGGTTGATATAGGTAATGTTGCTTACACTGCTGTCATACCCATCACAAGTGACAGTTCGAGGGAAAAGATGAGGAGAAGATAAAAATATTGAAGAAAAAGGTGATACGGTGGTGTCTAGACATTTACAGATACATATCCTCGAAATTGGGGAGGCTACCGGGTTTGAACAGTCTGAGCCATGAGGTTGTTTGAAAGCTATAGTGAATGACGGGTGCTATGAATGATCAAAAGGCTTCACTTGTCAATTGGTTTGGCACACATCTCACAAATGAAGTGACTCCCTCCTGAGAGCTGCAGGCCATGCTCGCAGCCACTACTCGCGGTTCATCTACTTTCCATCTGGACCATCTATCTACTTACAGGAGCCACAATCAGCATTGATGTGGATCGTGGGTCGGAACTAACACCTCACCTCATGAGACTGTATGGTCTCAAAAACCGTTGGCTGCGATAGAATTCCTCTGTTTTACCATACCGGATCTCAGTGCCGATTGGGCCAGACCGTTTTCTTCTTGAGCAGTGAGGGCGGCTTTCAGTTCCTTTACGTCCAGTGACCAGGGCACATACAAACGCTGAAACTTTGTTTGTTTTTCCTACTTCACACGGAACCTTCCCATCTCTATTTCCTCTCACGCATTCGCCTCCTAACAAGTACCATCTGGAAATGAAGACTATCACCTACTACTTCAATAATTTTTCATCATCTATGTGCTTTTGTTATCGTTATACGTTGACAGTAAGTTATCTCTCATCATGTGTGACAGACATGACCAGCCAGCCTTGTCATTTCTGACTGTTGTCTTGCTGTTAGAGCCTCTCACAGTCGCCTCAGACAATGGAATTGCACTCTCAATCATGCAACCACATGGACGACGAAATCTACGTTGTCGCCCAGCAACTTCAGGAGTTACAAGAGTACCTTGACTCTCAAAAAGGGAAGTGTCGGGCCGATGACAATGAAGACTATCTACAAGCATTTGGCCAAGAGTTGAGAGCACGTCTAAGGTCATTAGAGGACAACAAGCTTGCCTTGAGCATTGCTGCGGCAGTGCATTCCGACAGTCAGGTTATTGCTGCTATTACACGGGAAGAAGCTCAGGCAAGCGATGATCGACGTCTGGCAATCAGAATAAATGAACGAAACGATGACTCGGACTCTTCGACAACCGATTGTGATGTGGAGCAGTCTCAAGCGGCCACAGAGCCCCAGTCCAGTGACGATGAGTGCATCGCGGGTCCCTCGATGACATACAGAGAAAGACAGGCCTTGGAATTGGAGAAGTCCGCCGCCACGGAAACTCGGTGCTGCGTGTGCTATGAGAGTTTCTTCGCTCATAAGGTGAAGCAATTGGACTGCAACCACAATTACTGTGACGATTGTCTCAAAGATCTTTTTCTAAGAGCAACGAAGGACTCAACTCTCTTTCCTCCCCGATGCTGCCGTATGCCGATTCATCTAGAAGCTGTCCAGGAGCATATGTCAGAGACTGAGATGTCTGATTTCACGAGCGCGGAGATTGAGTTCTCCACCACTGACCGCACTTATTGCAGCAATACCAGCTGCGGCAAATTCATACTACCTCAAAACATCACAGCCGGCCGTGCTGAGTGTCCCCACTGCAACCTGAATACCTGTGCCATGTGCAAAAAGGCTTTTCACATCGACGACTGTGTAGAGGATACTGATCTGCAAGCTACACTGGCGCTAGCCAGTGCCCAAGGATGGCAACGGTGCTTCCGTTGCAGGGCTCTCGTCGACCTGGGGTTCGGCTGTTACCACATAACGTATGCATATACTTCTTCCACATTCCCCACTTCTACTTACTTACCCTTCTCAAAAACAGGTGCAAATGTCGCGCTGAGTTTTGCTACCTCTGTGGGCTTCAATGGAAGACGTGCGAATGCGTTACTTGGGACGAGGGAAGACTCGTCGCCAGAGCGGCAGAAGTTGTAGACCGCCAGGCCCCAGCGCCCTTGGCACCCCCGATACGCGATATCCTAGTTCAAAGAATGCGGGCAAACCTGATGGAGAATCACGAGTGCGAACACCAAGGCAGATTTCGGCGTCTTGCAGGTTCAGGATTGGAAGGATTTCAATGCGAGATCTGTGGAGCACGCCACCGGAAGTACATCCTGGAGTGTCGCCAATGCCAGATCGTAGTTTGTGAGTACTGCCGACGGAATCGTATTTGATGCGTTGTAGAAGGTTACAAATTCCGTTGACTGGTTGATGGAGAACTGAGTGTTTGATGACTTGTTACCAAAAATGCTGTTTCAAGGGTGGCTGGGTAGGGTCAGTGTAGAGGTGTGGTACTTGACGAGCTTCATAGGTAGCGGAGTACTTACGTTTACCTGAGATGCTGTTTCGTTCCATTTTCAGGTAAAGTGTTAGTTACAGTCCTAGAATGTGCGCATGTCTGCTTTGTCGGGATCTCATTATCTTTGTGTCATGTTCATTTCCATATGGCGGAGCTGCCACCTCGCGAAGGAAGGGCTTGGGCGATCAATCACCCAAAGAGCTTACGCTGGAGCATAGAGGAGATTTTCAGGTTCTAGTAAATTTCATTGTTTAAGAGGCCATGACTAATATTAGTACATATAACTATCACCTTTTTCTAGAGATTATGTAACATCATGGTGCTCCATCCACTGCACTGTAAATTCTCTCAATGAATGTAAGATATATACAATCTGATAGGCTGCCTAATGTATCAAGTCTCACAAGAATAGCCAAATAGATTTCAATCCAACCTTCGCTTGCAAATCGAATCTAACTAACGCGTGTATTTAGTCGTGGATTCCCAAGCTCGAGATCGGCGTCATGGTCCAGGAGAAATGATGCCTTTGGAAAGTCGACAGTCGTATAGAGGCAGGTTTTACGACGAGGCTCACAGGAACCACCTGATGAGTGTGACGAAAAGCAGTTTTCTAAACGAGTCCTTGGTCAAGCTATTGAAAGAATGGAGACAGCCAGTAGGAGAATACTCTATTCTGTAGCTTCTTATTAGGTCTATCTCCGACATGTGATTGATTCTGTTGTCGGTTGTGGTGACGAACTGACATGGGCTTTTACAGGATATGATGAATCCTCCTTCCAGCCGTCAATCTCTTTTCACCTAGTACCTTTGGAGGTAAGAGCCATCTACATAGAACGCAAGAAGAAAAAAGCTCGGAGCCACGGTAATCTGAGCCTCCTATCAGTGAATACAAATAGGGTCGCTTCGGGGATCTAGCGGAGGTAAGACTGGGTTCATTCTCATAATGACGTGTCCGGAAACGAAATTGATCATTGGAATTTTC